CTGCAAATATTTTGAGGGGAAAAGCCCTCTGTTCTACTATTACCAGGTTGTGATTACTGTTCCATGTCACAAGCAGAAAATTAATTATTCCCTAATGACAAGTGTGTTAGACCAACAGAAGCTTTTCCCCATGGTTTTGGCACTGGCTGAAACACCCTAATTGGACATTGTTGAATCTGATCCAAATGAATCCTGAAAATATATTCAGAGTCTTTTGTGCTGGAAATGTCATATTATCCCCTTTTAAAGAGTTTTCTTTTAATATAAACGTGTTTGTTCATTGCCCTTTATTTCTTCATTTCTGGATTTATTTTATTTTATGATGAAGAGGTGCAAGAAATTAAGAATTGAGAACAGAGCAGAGCTGTGGATTCGGATGAGCGCCAAGATATTAAGGCTCTCGGCCTAATTTTTAGATTTTGCAACACTTGCTATCTTGGTTCTTAACAATGGACAAATTCTAGGGCTTTTCCAGGCGATTGCATCAGTTTGGCATGGAAGGTATATCAGCCTTGATTTCTTCTGGTATGAAAACAATGCTTCTGTTGGCACAGTTTGAAATGCCACTGATTGATAAGGTATGAGATAGCTGCACCTCAGATCATGAGGCATTACAGCCGATGCAATGCAAATTGCGTCTTTTTTTATCTGTTGGCACCAGCAATAATTTCAGTGCGGTGACTGACACAAGTCTCCTTCCATCCCTCCTTTCTCCCTTTCCTTCCTTCTCTCTTTTTTCCTCCCTCCCTCCCTCCCTCTCTGTCTACTACTTCATCTTTTTGGTCCCTCACCAGGAGAGGAGGCATTGACCATGTACATGGACAAAAGCCGACTCGACCGAAAGTCAGGCAATGCTACCCAAAGTGTTGAGTCCCTTCACCAGCTTGCCTCCTCGTATTTCGTGGACCGGGATGGAACTATGAGGCGTCTCCATGAGATCCAGATCTCCACAGGAGCGATCAAGGTATACCTTGGTTTGCAAACATGGGTTGGTTTAAGCAAAGTGGGTGTGGGAAAACCAGAACTTGGGAAAGGCAATTCTCCTTTTCTTTTCTTTTTTCTTTTTAAATCTTGCTCCCACCACCCTGATGTCAGCACCTAGTTTCTCTCCTCTCATCTCAATGCACACATGAAGTCTTGATGTTCTGGTTGAACTTCTAACCAGCCTTAATTGTAAGCCTGGGAACATATTCTGGGTATTTTGGAAGTGTGCCTGTTTGTGTCCAAGTTAGAAGTTGATCTTCTCCTCTAGAACTTGGCAAGCATTTCACCCCCACATAAATCTTCTGATTCCCAAATTTCATGATTCCACAAAGATCTCTTATGCGACTGCCAGATTCTCATGGAGTTGGAAAGTTCATGAGTAGCAACCATTTTTTAAAGCATTGCTGAACTTGTTTTAAAAAATGTTCAATTTTAATTTAATTTGGGGAGGGGACAGGCACCATTCTGGCCCTGTTTTGCCACTGACTGCTGTGCTATCTGGACCTAATTCCACCTGAGAAATGTCAGAGGATAGACAGTAAAATCTGATACAGCATGAGGTAGAAAATTGAACATGGGGACAAGGAAGTGGTGTCAAAGAACTGCAGGAACAGCTAGCAATCACTGTGCTTAGGGAGGGGCAATGTTGAAAGGCATCTCTCATCTTTGGGCATCTTTTTCTCCTGCAGACTTCTTTAGAAGTCTGTTAAATGGCTCTTTGGTGTGTGAGTGATCAGAAAGTACAATGCACCTAGACAAAAAAAACTCAGAGTTTGAAGTACTCCATAACATAGTGCACAGGATGAGATAATGGCCGGGGCAAAGGTCTTTTGAGAGCTTGAAAGCAATCTAGTTGCACTGGGAAAGAGGGGGAAAAGATTTGGACCTCCTTAGCAATTGACCTACAAAACTGTGGTTGGAAGAGATTTCCAAAAAAGGTTTGGCCTTTGTCGTCTATCAATAAGCCCATCTGTTTTGGTTTTTTTTTCCCTGAGCCCAAGAGTACTTGAAGATGCTGGAGAGATGTTCTGAGACCATCTAAAGTTTGGGAAGAGGGGAATTAGGTGCATTTCAACTGTTACTGTGTAAGGTTTGAAAATAGGCACGTTCCTTTGATCTACTTGCCATCATGCACTGCAAAAGAAAGTGGAGTTTATTCCACTCAAAATATACATTTCCCAACAGTGTCAAAGGCCACACAATGGTGGTTAGAAGCATGCCCACATCTTCAATGTATCCCAGCTCAACTAGCACAAAATAATGTGCATGGTTCCCATCCCACATGTCCTACAGCAACCTTGTTAGGAACAGTAAAGTTCAGAGAAGGAGAGCAAGTCAGTCCAAAGTCTGCTGGTGAATTTTATGACTAAGTGTATGTAGATGGTGACAGAGATTGAACCAGAACTTCCTTATCATAATTTGATATTTGAAGCCAAAGATGCAGACAAGCATTCTTCCGCCAAGAGCAGAATGATCCACTTGGAAATTATCTGTAGAGGAACAAATGTTGGTGGGTGTGATTAAACAACTGTGGGCAGGGGAAGAGCTAAATATGGGGCTGTCATTTCCTTTCTCTCTTTCTGATTCTGCTTTCCCACCCTTATTTCTCTTTCTAGCAAAATGCCTGCTAGGACAGTTTTCCCAGCATTGCTCCAGAACAGTTGTGTCCTCCTGACCCCTTCCTAATGTTTAACATGAAAACTCTCATCACCTTGGTTTTTCTAGCTGAGGATAACAGGTTTTGTAGTCCAAATAGCTCATGGGCCCAAGATGGAGGAGAAGAAGAAGATGATCTAACCTTATGCATCAGAGGGTCACAGTTAGTGTGTTTGTGGACACTTTTGAGGGATGAGGGTGAAGAAAAATGAGGTTCTGGGAAAGGGTTTCTCCTTTCTAAAGTCTTTGAAATGGAGATGCACAGAATCAAATCCAGAATCAAATCCTTTGCTGATAAAGAGTACCGTGTGTGTGTGTGTGCGTGCCTTCAAGTCAGTGTTGACTCCTGGCAACTGCCTAGACAAGTCTTAGCAGTTTTCTTGGCAAGATTTCAGAAGTGGTTTGCCATTACCTGCTTCCTAGGGCTGAGAGAGAGGGACTGGCCCAAGATCACCCAGATGGCTTTGTGCCTAAGATGGGACTAGAACTCATGGTCCCCTGGTTTCTAATTTGGTGCCTTCACAACCACCACCACCACATTTCTCTAAAGAGTACCTTAGCCTTCCCTTTTTAGTCTGCAGCTAGGCACTTTATCTGTTGCCCACCTGCCTGTCTAAACCTGGGTCTTCTTTGGGTCTTGGTTGCATCCTGTCCATCCTTCTATCAGAGAGATTCTCCTCCTGCTCAGCCCTCCTTTGATAGGGCAGCTGCTATGGTTTTGCTTTCTTTGAATCTGCTCCAGGTCACCGAAACGCGGACAGGCCCGCTGGGCTGTAACAGTTATGACAATCTGGACTCTGTGAGTTCTGTCCTTCTGCAAAGCACGGAGAGCAAACTCCATCTCCAAGGTAAGGGAAGAAGGGAAAGAAACACTCAACTGCCTAGACATCGTGGCAGTTGTTTGTCATTGCTGTTTTCTCTCTGCTCTGTTCCATCTCTATCATTTCCAAATTGTTTTAAGGAACTGAATCCAGGTGAGATGCGGGAGGCATAAATTGTGGGTTACATCCCCTTGCTGGCATAACTCTTGCACTCTAGTTTGAATTTATTTACAGCTGAATCTTGCCTCTAAGTCATTGCTCTATTCTTATTTAACAGAAAAAGAAATGAGTGAAATTTAGAATGGCACAACAGCTCCTTTGCCTTCTTCTCCCAAGTTAATGCTTTCTTTGCAAACTTCTCCCAGACATATATAGCCACAATCTTCCTGTGGGACAAGGCTGTGAAGTAGTCACAGATGTGCATGTGGAATCCAATCTTTCTTGATTTTTCTCTGCTTGCCTGGGTTTTTTTTGCGGGGGGGGGGGCTTTACTTGCTTTCCTTGGACATCTGATTATATTATCAAATCACTGGCTTGGGATAATGCATGAGAAACAATGGCCGTCATATTTTATGCCGTTTCTGGACAGAAAGTCAAACACCCCCAACTTTTTTTGGACCATGAAGGCAAAACCGTTCAAATCAGTGAGAGGAATTAAACTGTTATCTAAAATTGGGTGTGTGTCTGCATGTGAGTGCAGAGTACTGTTCCTTCCTCCCACCTTCCAAAGGCTTTCCAATTGAAAATAATGGATGTTGGTGAGTTGGGTGACATTGCTGTTTTCCCACCACGATGGCTGACAACAGGTTAGATGTGGTTGGCAAACTGATCACAGAAGACTGAAGTTGTGATCCATTACCTGCAGCCCTGTAAATAATTACTAATGAGGAAGTTACACAGCAGCTGGGAAGGCAAAGGTTTCTACTAATTATTCTGAGATGCACCTTCTAGATGGTGGAGTGAGTAGAAAAACAAAGAAGGTAAAAGCATGCTTTTAAAGGTCACTGGTAATGAGAAGACTTGTTTTTCCCTCTCTCCAGCTGAGAAGCTTCCATCATTTTTGTCTATATCCTTTTGACTGATATGGAGTCACACTATTGGTTGATTTCAATTTCGACTCCCGTTCTGAACATTGCCCTTTCAGAAGGATCTGGGCAAACCGAAGCAGGTTCAGAGAAGAAGAAACTAAGTTGTGCATGAGATTAAGGGAGCTGGGTATGTTTAGCTTGAGGAAAGCTGGTGAGAGAGAGGGTTTAGGAGAACATTCTTCAAGTACCAGAAAGGGTATCACATAGAATTCCTCACTGTAAAATTGTTTGACAAGGAACCGGTTACCAAGGGAGATGAGGAGGAGGAGTTCAAGCAGAGGCTGAGCATCCATCTGTCATGGAGACTTGATTTTGGATTCTTGCACTGAGCTGGAGACTGGACTAGTTCACCTCAAGTTCCTGTTCCAACTTTAGACTGTGGTGATAACCTGGCTAGCTTCACCCTCAAGTTCCCAGATTCCAACCCTGATGACCCTTAAGTCTGTGTGTAAGAGGCTGGTCCTTGAAGAAGACTTTGAACCAAAATGCATTAGGGTGCCTTCTTCAAATGGTTGAGTGCAGCTTTTGGTCACCATTACAACCTTCTCATTTTACATCCCCGCAGTATAATGTCCAAGAACACAAATGGTAAGATGGACAAAGATGCCGTCACTTTACTTTTCAAGTTCTCCAAATTATGTTGCTCCCTCCAGATAAATCCCCCCAAACAGGTTATGCCCCCATGTCCTTTTTTCCTTCTGTGACCCAAATACCATTTCCATTGATCGGGGTGCACTGCCATATTTTCTTTGCTGAAAATTAGGTCAAAGGAAGAAAGATGATTCCCAAGCCAGGGACAGAGAGTTCTAATTCTTCTGATGGGCATCCTTTAAAGACAGTGACGACTTTTTTCTTAATTCCAAGTTGCCATGGATGATGCTATAAATGGAACTTGTCACCAAGGATTCTGCTATACATTCGCATCTTTATAAGTGATCTCCCTCTTTGTGATTCTAACCTCCTACAAGCTAGAAAACCATCACCTCCCCATCAATCAAATGTTTTCCTCAATAGACATTTTATGTTCTGTAGCTACATGTCGTGCTTGTTCAGCTATCAACAGATTCTACTTACCTTCTACTACTTTGTCCCCCCCACCCGCACACACACTCACACCCAAGAGATGAGATTTCTCCTTTGTCTTTCTTTCTAAAAATTCCTTGAACTTACATACTTTGGGGTTAACCTGAGCAGGCTGATGTTCCTCTTCCTAGAGGCATTCACAAATGGAGTTCTTCGTTAGAAGGAGTATTTTTTTTTTTAAAGATTCATTTACATTCTCACTCATCCTCCAAAGAGATCAAACAAACACATATGGCACTCTGAGAGTTTAGATTAGGTGGAATAATAACTCCTTAGTTGCCAATACTGTCATGAAGCCAAATCGAAAGGAGGGCAATATTTCTTTTCTCATTCTAAGTAAGTGAAGAAGAGAAGAATCATACCCAGCATGAACATCGTCCTATTTTTGATAAGCAAGTTGAAACTGTGTAGCAATTCACAGCTGTTTGTTTACGGCCTGCCAATGGGGCAGTAAAGTGAAGTGGGGCATTGTCAATCAGCTCTGAATGGTTAAACTCTTCCTCCAGTTATTAATAAACCCCTTCCTTCAGATAAGATCTCAACTTCTGTATGAGACTGTGACTTTCCTCTCAGCTTTGCATGACTTGGTTGTTCCCTTCTGCTCCAGTGATGTTTGTCAAGTGAAATCAGGAGGAATTGCGGTTCTACAAATGGAGGAGCAATTAGTGATGCTACGGTTTTAGGCAGCTTTATCAGCCACTCTGGAATCTAGGCCTGCATCTGGCTGAGTGAGACACGCTCACAAATGTTTCAGGGATCCTTCAGAAGGCTGTGTTTTCTGCCCTTCTTGCTTGCCATCCTTGGGTACCCACTGGAAGCTGATCAGCTTTGACAAGCCGAGCTTCCCAAATGTGGGGAAACAGCTGCAGAGACACTATGTGCCTCAGGCTGCCCACTGGAAACGGCCGACTTGAACAGAAACCTGGATTGCTGAATGATTGCATGTAAGCCAGTTGTGCAAACCACTGATGTCCACTTCGCTTTTGAAAGAAGGGAAGTTTGCTTCTTGCAGTGACTTTGCAAATGTTCTTTTCCATTTGGCTTCTGGGACACGTGAAGTGCCAAAATGGCCACTGGATGGAAGCGCTAAAAGTCTGCGGATTGATAAACCGTGTTCTCACAATACTTTTAACCAGAACAGAGAAAGACCTCACCAGTGCATCCAGACAATGAGCCCTGTTTGATTAGTACTTCATTAGAGCTTTCTGGGTGTGTGGTTTAGCGTGTTATGTCAACTCTGCCTGTTGGATTCTCTATGGTTCAATATTATTGTGCAAACATCAAAAGTAGGTCAGTTTTCCCGTAACACAGGTTGAGCATGATATGCAAAACCAGCCATGGTGACTATGCTGGAGAAGTCAGGGGAGAATCTCTCCTTGCCCTATTTTGATTTCCCTTTCTCCCTTCTTTGTTTCTCCCCTTTAGGTCTCCAGGTCATCTTTCCTCAGTATTTACAAGAGAAATTTGTGCAGTCAGCATTGAGTTATATCATGTGCAATGGAGAAGGAGAATATATCTGCCGAGACAGCCAGTGTGGATGTCAGTGTGCTGAAGAATTCCCCCAGTGCAATTGTCCCATCACTGACATCCAGATAATGGAATATACGTTGGCCAACATGGCCAAATCTTGGACAGAGGCCTACAAAGATCTAGAGAATTCAGGTAATGGCGGGAGAAGGACAAGGGTGTTTTAGTGGCATTACACAGGAAGTGGCTTTATACCCAATCAAGTCAGCCTTGTGTCATCACCTGTGGTGATTCTTCCAACTGGAGATCCTGGGCATTGAGCCTTGGACTTTCTGCATGGGATGTGGGTAGTAAACTCTGGTTCCTTCTCAAGAATACTCATATACACAATATTCTAGGGTGGGAAGAAAGAGTATCTACAATTTCTCCCACCAAATGATCCATTCTTGGATTTGTATTTATATCCATTGGTTTGTGCACATGTATTTCCTAGATGAATTTAAGTCCTTCATGAAGAAACTACCTAATAACCATTTCCTGACCATTGGGAGCATCCATCAGCACTGGGGAAATGACTGGGACCTTCAGAACCGCTATAAGCTCTTGCAGAGTTCGATGGAGGCCCAGCGCCAGAAGATCCAACGCACTGCCCGTAAACTTTTTGGCCTCAGCATCCGTTGCCGACACAATCCTAACCATCAGCTGCCTAGAGAAAGGTATTGGTCCTCTGTTTTTAGCTGGCGTGTGTGTGTATGTGTATGATGTGCATTGTGCATGTTACATCAATGGTCTGTTTGACCCAGGGGTGACTCTATTGGGACAACATCTCTTAGTTGGGCTAATGAGAGTCCAACGTTGTCTACTAGTGTCCCCGGGAGAAGAACCTTCCATTTTAATACTGCAGTCTCAAGATTTATTCATACGTGGGTTTCTTTGAGCTCATTTTAATTTTGCTTAGGTGTGGGAAGCCAGGAAGGCTGTAAAGCCTCTAGAGAGATGATGATACAAAGAAAGACAACTTGCACCCATACCCAATCCATGAGGTTTTATCATGTTTATTTTTTCCTTTGGGAAGAAAGAGAGAAAAAAAAGATGCTACTATTTCCCCTAATACTGAATGAAAGTAATTGGAGGATAAGTGCAATAAAATATTAACCACTACAGGAAGTTACGGGTGGCGCAGTGTGGTTTAGAAATATAGATTATTCTCAGGTGATTCATCAAGTAAGGAAGATGTCCCAAAATGTTGGGCTGTAAAAGGAAGGGCGAAATATTGCACTTCACATTTTTTTATTGCCAGCGTTCTCTGAAGCATACTCATCTTCCATTTTGTGCTAAAAGAACCTGATGTTAGCACAGAAGATATATATAAAGCTGCCAAGAGTTGTAATGGCTACATGTGGGTGGAATCATATTTTTGATCCATCACTTAGGGATTAAGAGCCTAGAAACTGTGCCTGGTGTTTCTCCAGCCAAGTGTGTTCCTCCAAAGCTTTTAGATAAATAAGTAATTTGCATTTTGTTCTGATTAAAGGAAGAAGGAAAAAACAACCAGTGAAGGAGAATCCCCATCTCCAGTGAGCTCTGTCAAATGTAGATGGGACAATATTCAGGCCAGTAGCTGAGTTTTTCAAGGTCTGGTGTGTCTCAGTAGTTCAAGTCAACACCATCAAGCATACGAGTATTGTCCCTTATGTTTGGCATACTGTAGTTTTAACAAATGAGACTCTGGGTGTGTGGGCACATGTCTATTCACTGAATAGAAAGAGAACAGGAAAAAAAAAGAGATGTTCTGCCTGGTGAACCTCCATCTGTATGGTGGAACCTCCATCTGTATGGTATTTGGAAGGGAGATACTGGTGGGAGAGTATACAGGAATAGAAAGAATGAAGCTGACTTGATAGAGAACTCCTCTGTGAAGAGCTAAGCTAATGGGTTGACAAGAGATGGTGAAGGAAGATTGGGTGGGAATGCAGGAACTGCCTTTTATTGAGTCACAGCCTTAAGTTCAACCAGCCTAGTATGGTTGACACTGATTGACAGTTCTCCAGGAAGAATGGGCAGCCTTTGAAGTTGTAGAGCAGGTGTTGGCTTAGGCTCTAGTTCTTAAAACAGAACCTAGGACTTTCTGTGGGCCACACAGGTGTTTTACCATAAAGTGACAGCTCTTCCCATGTAGACTGAGAGCCACTTTGGTGTAGTGGTTAAGGTGCTGGTCTAGAAACCAGGAGGCCATGAGTTCTGCTCCTCCTTTAGGAATGGGAGCCAGTCGGATGACAGACAAGCTTAACACTAAACAATCTTAGCAAGTTCTGTGAATGCATCTACTAGATTTTTACTGACCTGGTTCAGTGTATGGTGAGAATACAGCCTAGGCGAAAGCAAATAATCTAGGGCTATCCAGGCAGGGAGATCGGGCTGAAGAAGGCTAAGGGTTAAGTTCTAACGATCAAAGATTGATTGGCAAGTCTGTGGGGTTTTCTCCCCCAGAAATGCAGAGCAAATTTTGCAAGCCAGTTCCCAGTGCACCCCTCCCTCATCTTTGCTACCCATCTGGCACAAGGTTACCAAATATTCCTTGCACCAAATTAGACCCAAGGAAGCTTCATCCCAGGCAATTCTGGGTGTCTGAATGCCCTGGACAGAGACAGCAACATTTAATAATGTACGACAGCCTTCAAAAAGATAGAGTGGTTATATTAACAGCATGAGATTTTCTGTCCCATTCACAAAGGTCTAATAGAAATAGCATGTTCTATATTCAATTATGGCCTAAAGCAACACACTGACACTCAACTACCCTTTACGGAAATGAAGGCGAAGATAAAGGAAAGCTGAAAGAGAAACTTGCATTCAGCCAATGTTAATGGCTCGGAAAGGCACGAGTTCCTTTTTTTAAAAAAAATCTTTCTCTTTTCACTCTTATTTGCTTCTGCCTTTTTTTTTTTTTTTTGCACATCTAGAATTTTGTTTGCAAAACAAGCCCTGTCAATGCATTAATTAAAAACAAAACCAGAGGTGATTCAGCCAATGTTAATGGCTCGGAAAGGCACGAGTTCCTTTTTTTAAAAAAAATCTTTCTCTTTTCCCTCTTATTTGCTTCTGCCTTTTTTTTTTTTTTTTGCACATCTAGAATTTTGTTTGCAAAACAAGCCCTGTCAATGCATTAATTAAAAACAAAACCAGAGGTGACTCAAATGGAAAAGGGAAGCAAGCTGCAGATTCATTTCTGTTTTTGCTGGTTTTGTAATTTCTGCATGGGGAGCGTTGCATGATTTACAAGGCCTTGGGCTAAGCAATTGACTGGAGGAAGCAATAGATTGAAGGGGCTGGCCTATATATATATATATTTTTAAAAAAAAATAATTTTTTTTAGGGAAGCACGGGCAGCTGTTGCAAACAGGAAAAGCTGAGAAATGGCAGGATGAGATGTTAGCCCAAAGTTCAGATCAGATCTAATAAGCCAGCAGGGTTGGAAATAATTCCCAAATTCACCTAGGAGCATAGAATAAGACTTTGGAGACCCTCAGGAAGGCAATGTAGATGTTTGGTGTGTTGTGAAGCTGCTCAGCTTTTTGCATGTTTTATCAGAAGAAGGCTGGAAACTTCCATGCCCACCATTCGCCTAGGTGGGTGACACCTTTAGGTCAGCAATGTGCAAAAGAAAAATCCCAGATAAAAATTACAATTTTGCATGTGAGAGAAGCATTAAAGAAGGAGTTAATGCATCAGTTTAACTGGCCATTGCTGATCTTCCAAAGGGACTGTCAGGAAAGCCAAAGACAGTAGCCTAGAATGGAAGATCAAAAAGCATTTCAAGAGAAGGCCGTGGTAACCATTTCTTCATTGTTGCTAAGAAAACTATATGGCGCTATGATCTTCATGGAATTATCAGAAGTGGAGCTTGATTTATGGGTGGTGATCTGAGAAACTTATAATGGGAGAGGTGGTTTTGCAGAAACTCATGCTTTTAGTTGATTATAAGGTGTGTAACTAAGCTGGGGAAACTGCTCTGGTGTTAACACAGCTGTTGAGTTTTCTCCAGAGTACTTAGAGATGTAAGTTTGTGGACTGTAAGAGACAACTTATTATAGTCTATGATTTCTCAATTGTAGGACGATACAGCAGTGGCTATCTCGAGTCCAGTCTTTGCTCTACTGCAATGAGAATGGGTTCTGGGGGACCTTTCTGGAGAGTCAACGGAGCTGTGTCTGCCATGGCAGCACCAGCCTGTGCCAGCGGCCAATCCCGTGCATCATTGGAGGCAACAACAGCTGTGCCATGTGTAGCTTGGCCAACATCTCCCTCTGTGGCTCATGCAACAAGGGCTACCGCCTCTCTCGGGGTCGCTGCGAGCCCCAGAACGTGGACTCTGAGCGCAGTGAGCAGTTCATCAGCTTTGAGACCGATTTGGACTTCCAGGACCTGGAGCTGAAGTACCTCCTGCAAAAGATGGATTCCCGCTTGTATGTCCACACTACTTTCATCAGCAATGAGATCCGCCTGGACACTTTCTTTGACCCTAGGTGGCGCAGGCGCATGTCCCTTACCTTAAAGAGCAACAAGAACCGGATGGACTTCATCCACATGGTCATTGGGATCTCCATGCGTATCTGCCAGATGCGCAACAGTAGCCTGGACCCCATGTTCTTTGTCTATGTCAACCCTTTCAGCGGGAGCCACTCAGAAGGTTGGAACATGCCGTTTGGAGAGTTTGGCTACCCACGTTGGGAGAAAATCCGCCTGCAGAACAGCCAGTGCTACAACTGGACTCTCTTGCTGGGAAACCGGTGGAAAACGTTTTTTGAGACCGTCCACATCTACCTACGCAGCCGGACTCGGTTGCCCTCCTTGATGCGCAACGAGACTGGTCAAGGGCCTGTGGACCTTTCTGATCCGAACAAGCGCCAGTTCTACATCAAAATTTCAGACATTCAGGTGTTTGGATACAGCTTACGCTTCAACGCTGATCTGTTGCGCAGTGCTGTGCAACAAGTCAACCAGTCCTACACGCAAGGTGGGCAGTTCTACTCCTCTTCCTCTGTCATGTTACTGATGTTGGATATACGGGACCGAATCAACAGATTGGCACCTCCAGTAGCCCCTGGAAAACCCCAGCTGGATCTCTTCTCTTGTATGCTCAAACACCGTCTGAAACTGACCAACACTGAGATCATCCGTGTGAACCACGCGCTGGATTTGTACAACACTGAGATCCTTAAACAGTCAGATCAGATGACAGCCAAACTCTGCTAACCCCAATTTTATGTACTTATGTATACAAACTAATCCTTTTGCTGTAAACATACACACACACAAACAAAGGAAAACAACCAACGTTTAAAAAAAAAAAGAGGAAAAAGATTTAAGCAAAAATATGAAAAAAAATGTAAAATGTAATTAATATACAGAAGAGTGGGAGGGGAGAGAGGAAGGTCATCGTTCATTGGGAAAGGAAAAGAAATTTGTTGGAACAGCCATGTAAACGAGATGAGCATATTTTGTTGCTCCTGTAATCACAAAAAAGAGACCAGGATGTGAATTTCCGTAAGGTTATCGCTCAGTAGGATTTTGAAGCAGCAGAGACGGGTGGGGAAAAGACGTTCTTTTGAGATCTCTTGTATGTAATTGTAAAGATTTCAGCTATGCAGGTGCCAAATAGAAGACGATAAAGGGAAAGAGTGTGGAAGAGAGAAAATTCTGTGTACATGTACAAAGAATTGCCATTTCTCCTGGTGGGGGTTAATGGCCAAAGATAAAAGATATTTCTTTTGTGAAGTGTTATAGCAGTTTTATTCTGAATCATTTTTCTGCCATCCTGAGATGAAGCTGTTGTCCTGACATGAAGGGGGCAAATTGTGACCATGTTGCTAGACTGTGCAATAATCTGTTTAAAAAGAAGGAGAATTTGAATTAGGGCTATGTGCAGATTAGATCTGGAGGTGGTACTATCGAGTTTCCAAACTGAGTTGACTTTCTGAATCAAATCGATTCAGTATAAATTGTCTCATGGAATTGGCTGCTTCTGAATTGGTCCTTCAATTTGATGGCCTTTTTCACATGCACGGGAAGGCCTGACTTTCCCAATCGGATTGATTTAATTTGATGACTAGATCTGAAAATGCAGATTGAATTGATACGGAAGCAAACTGAAGCAAACTGTGTGTTTGCATTAGTTCTCCTGGTTTCCCATTTCTCCACAGCGTTGGGTATAAGCTGAGTTCAATCACTTTCCCATGAATGATTTTCCATCAGTTGAAATATGGAGGATCTATTTTCACCTCGGTGATATGATCCTAAATATGTATGGAAGTAAAACTCATTGGATTTGTGGGCTAAGGGACCATAGATGACAGACATGCAGTTAAAACCAGCCCCAGGGATGGCCGTAACAAACCATGATATCAGAATGACAACACGTACCCAAAGAGGCAATCATGTGAATGCCTCAATTTTGTCCTAGTCTAATGTGATTTCATAAATGATGGCATCGTGAAGATGTCATGCTTTGATTCCCCCTGCCTCCCATAGAAGCCTATGACTTACACATGTCTATTTTTATTCATTGAGAATGACGCCCCAGCAAGCAGCATAAGAGTTTCTCATTGATGCCAGGTGTGTGTGCTTCCTGGTAGATGATGGTGCCTGAAGTAATGGACATGGTCAACAGTGAGGTGATGGCATTATCTAAACACCCTTATCAGCGCTCTTTCTTTATAGAGCATTAATGTGTCGGTCTAGTGTTACAGATGCTTGACAAGGACCTATGCAATCTTTGCAGCAATATGGAAGCAAATATACCATTTCTTCCTTTGCTTTTATCCACTGATTTCCTAGGCATCATATCAAACCTACGTCCACATCCCCATCTGGAAACCTTCTCCCACGTTGCTTTGCTTCTGTGTTTTGTTGGATCCAGAGAAACTTTCCCTTCCGTGGCCTTACAACTTGCATGATCCTTGTTCTTATCTTTCTGGTAGCTCCCCTGTAGACTGGAGGACATCTCCATAATCCTACATAACTCACATCATGGGTGGGGGTACTTTGCAGAGTGAATTATGTTGCCAAGCACCCATATGAGCTAGCACTTTCTTCCACTCTTGCTACACATGACTGCTCAACAATCCTCATAAGTATCTATTTGACCAACCATCAACAAGCGCATTCTCCAGGTGGCCAAGAATGAGCAAATACTGATTTTGATGAGTGTGAATGCTCAGAAAAGAAGAGTGTGTTCTAAATCAGGCTTACAGAAAAAAAAAATCTGTCTTCTGTTTCTTGTTTTATTTGATTTATCTCCATTTTAAAGGAGCCATCAGCTACCTCTTAACACTATGCAGTGGATAAAAACCCCTGAAAGCACATGCTGAAATCATTTTGTGGGCTGCAGTGGGGCATCATAGAAAGGGAATTAAAACAGAGACTCCTTAGAGCCATTATTCATTTTTATTCACCTTTAAGCTTGCTGAGTTTTTAAAGAGAATTATGTAGAAACACATACAGGTGACTATAAAAACACTGAAGCAATAAGAAACATTTTAGATTCCCAAATCATAGCAGGAAAGTTTGACTCAAGATCACGATCTGTTATTGAAAGATTTCCAGTCTTTAAAGAATAGAAAAAGAAAGTTGGATCTCAATGGTTTAGCAAAACTAGACCAGATAAGGAATTTATTGGCTTTTCAGTCTTTAGTCAGGTTGCCTAACATTGGATAACACACAACTTCAGGCTTCCTAAAAATTATTCAGCATGATGGGCTTGCATAGGAAAGTGAAGATGGGCTGGAGAAATCCAGATAACCACTACAAAGTAGCAAACGCCTTCTTGATCCTCTAGATGTTTGCAAACCAAATCTAGCAGCCCCAAGGCCAAGTGATATGGTGCCAGCTGTACAATATATACTGGTTGGCTGGCGGTGGGATTATGAGAAATGAAGTCCAACCCACATTTAGTCTACAAGTACCCCATCCTTGACAGCCAATGCAAGAGATCACTGCTTCATGTCAGATCTCTCAAAAAGTATATAGCTTTCTTCCATTCTGCCTGGCTCTGCCCATCCATCCATCCATCCATCCATCCATCCATCCATCCGCCAACTATCTACCTACCTTCCTACATCAATCCACTACAGGACGATGCCTTGTTCATTGAAGATCATGGTCCATGAACTACTACCATGGTCTAGTGCAAGTTGATAGATTGATGTTTTTTGACTTCCCAGACTGAGAGAGAGTGACTGGCTTGAAGTCATCCAGCTGGCTTCCATGGCTAAGCGAGACCTAGAACCTGGGTCTGCCCCGTCTTAGTTCACCACCTTAAACACTACACCACACTGGGGTGAATTCTCTCTCTCTGATTCAATTACTGTCTAGTTGGCTACGTGCAGGAGCAACTTATTAGTATGTTGATGCTAAAGCAGCCATGTTGAATGCCCACTTGGAGAAGGCCTGAGAGTGATGTCTGAGGTTACCATGGAAATGAGAGGAGCTCTTTAATTAGCTGCTACATGAAATGCTGGGAAGGACCCCGGTCCCTATAGAGGGGAGTTGGGGGCTCTAGCAACTGTAGTTCTTTCTCATCAGTTTCTTCTCGAATTTTGCTGAAAACGACAGCAGCATTCACACTAGTTGCTTAACCAGACTGCTGAAGAGGAGGAGATGACTTTTCGTTCGGTGTAGAAATCCACCCAGATCATCAAAGCAGATCCAGGTTAAAGGTCCTGCAGAGGGAAACCACACATTTAATGTCGGGTGGGAAAAACACCTCTGATCCAAATCAGTAGAGCTCATCAAGAAGGTAGCTAAATCCCATGGGAAACTGGTTGTCACCAGGAGAATGGATCCTACATGCAAAGGATTTTCACAAGGTCTCAGCTAGATGGGCAGCTTGTCCATCTGCCAACTCATTCATGTTAGCAAACCTCAAACAAGTGAAACACATGGAGTCCTTGGGGTTCTCTGAGCTTGGTTGTTTTCTTGCAAACGTTTCATTACCTGACTAGGTAACACCTTCAGTGCTACAGGGAAACACCTCTCCCAGTCCCAAGAAAACAGAGCAAAGACGATTAACGATGCCTGAAAGAACTGCTCTGTGCATATCTGCTTTTCCCAGTGCTATCCAACACATGTGCAAGGTAAGCAGCTCAAACTATCCTCTCCACATTCTGGGCTCAGGAGCCCATGGTTCTCCACATTAATGGAGATGAGAGAAGAACACCCGTGGCAACTCCCAGCTCACCCGGACATTGTACCCAAAGGCTCACCAATGCATCCAGACCCAATATAGCTACAGCTGTCTGCCTGGAAATTAAACCCAGCAGTTCCTGAATACAGATCTTCCAGGTTCAGTTGTAAAGACTACCTTGGCCTCAAGGTGACAGCCACCACCAAGAGCTGCCAGTTGGCTTGGTGCCCTTCTAATTGATGATGCAAAGGCAAAAGCCTGTGGCATTTGCATTAAGGGTCCATAACTTGAAGGGGCTTTCTGCAGATAGGGCGGAAGAGCAAACACATAGCACTGACAAGCAACCACCTTGGATGGGCAAGGGACATAGTTTTCAGTCCAGATCTGTACTTCTTTCTTAGAAGCGCTCACCTCTCACCTCCAGTTTACTCACTGTTTTCTTATGTGGGACTTATCTTTGGAATCAGGGCCTTACTACAAACACGTCAGCCAGCTTTCCATGAACATTCTCACCTGGAATTCAGCCTTCTTGGTCAGCTTATCTTGGGGGATCTGGAGGGCTGGGGAGCTAGGGGCATCTTAAACTGGGGGGATTTATGCCACATGTCTATTTCAAGCCCAAATGCAAATTGCACTGAGCACGAGAGATTGTGTTGACCAAACCTCATTCTCTTCAAATAATGCATCTGGCTCCAGCTAGAGGTGTGCAGATGTCTCAGCCTCTACCTGAAGCACACATTGGAGGGATGAAGGGCTAACGGTTTGCAGGACATCTGGAAAAAAGAGCTTTTCCAACTCCAGAAATAGCAGTTCTTTGGGAGAAAGCACTGCCTGGCATACACAGCCAGTCAGAAGCAGCCTCCTTTCCTGCTTACAGCACACCATGAAAGTGTTGATGGGGGACTATGTTGATGGACCTATTCCCAGGAACTACCATTAACAGACTTTGGGTTGGGTCTATCTGGACAGAGCCATCTTATGTTTATAAAACATTATAGAATAGAGATGTTTGCTACCTTCTTGGTTCAAACTCTCCTAGTCCTCCCTAAAATACCTTGTCTCCTGAAAGGAAAAGTATCTCTTGGGGAAAATTGTGTGTGAGTGTGTGTGTGCACCTTCAAGTCAGTGTTGACTCCTGGTGACTGCCTGGAC